ACACGGGAGTTCTTTCTAAGCTTTCTTTGATTCTCCTTGCTTTAATAAATTGACCCAACCTAAATCTTCATGAAAATCTTACTGCTTTTTGCGATACTGTAATTAATTTGCGCTGAAAAGTCTTTTTGGGTGTTTTGTATGGAATTTATTTTCACTGATCTTTGTCGAGTTGAATGTAAAATGTAGGAAAAAAAATATTTATGCTTGATTTTATTTTCACTAAATCATTCTTTCAGCTAATTCCAAGCAAAAAAAAAGTATTTTACATAATACATGTTATCTCCAGTTTTCTGAATGGCATTGTTGATTACTGCTAAGTTTCAATATGCAACTGTGTTTAAGAGAACTGTACAAAGTACATGTGAGAAGAATGGATTTACTGTTACTTTCACTCTCTTCACAGATGCTATGAATACTTCAGATTTGAAAGGATTCTGTCTTTGGATATTATTACACATATCTCCTTTATATCAATATGATATACATGGACAGCAATCTATGACAAAGGTAAACAGAAATATGTTAACCCTCTGAAGTAAAAAAAATGTTCAAATTATATTATATATGATGTATATTAACTAACTAATATATAAAAGTATTAATTAATTTCTTTTTGCAGTTTTTGTTGTTGTCTTTGTTACAAATATTTTTTTGAACATATTATTTCAAAAACAAGACATAGAAGTTGTGAGCTTTTTGAACTGATGTGTGCACTGGCCAGAATTAAGGGGGGAGGGGTGTTCAAAATGCTTACAAAAAAAACACCTCATATGGTTTTCATCTAATGTGATATACCATACACAATATTTTAATACAGGTAGTTATATTTATTTTGGTAGGTTCCTATTAAATGTAACTGGTTAGCTGTCAATGATATTTTGAAATCGGCAATATCTCCACAGGTAAGGACAATATGGTATCAATTTCACTATGTTAAACATTCTCTTGATTGTGCCAAGATTTGTATCATTGTCATTGTAAGGACAATATGGCATCCATTTCACTATGTTAAAGTGAGGGAGTCGTCACCTAGGCATGCGTCAGGTGGCCATAGCATGTCATTGTTTAAAAACAAGCGTCTACCCATGAGCTTTTGCGTTTTTAGCATGTGTTATCGTCGCTTGGGACTCAATTCCCGCGTGTGCACAGGTGACACCCCTCCCGCTTTAAAAATTCTCTTGATTGTGCAAATATTTGTATTAATGTCATTGTAGAATTTCATTTTAAATTATCTAATCACGCTAATATGTATCTTTTATTTTGATATCCATGTTGTAAATTGTTTTATACATATACGTACATGTAGCGAATTTGTTTTCTTGATAACACAGGTATGCTTAAATGACAGTAGTGTGTCTTCTTGTTAAAATAAGTTATATTTCAGTGATCCAGCATAGAATAAATGCAATTTTGGGGTTTATGTGCACTTCTGTTGGTGATGGACTTCTAACAGTGCAGTTATAGTATGTACATTTAGTTTGCTGTGATGGACTGAAATAGTACTAAACAAGTTTAAATGACCAATGACATACGTGGGGTAATAATTATTGTTTTTATTGTTTATAATTTCAGGCTGGTGGTTTAGATGAAGCAAAACTTCGTTGTTATATAAAATGCTGTATTTCCTTGACTAGTATCTGGGAACCTAATACTAAAGTCATTGTGCTGATATGGGATCAATTTCATAAACGACTGGTAAATCAATAAAACACTGTTTTTCTATAATTTTCCATATTTTGAGAATTACCGGTACATGTAGTGTGCTATTTACAAACTTATTATTCATGTAAGTCTTAAATCAATATATTTTACTGTTTCATAAAAAGCTGGATCTGTATGTTTTCCAAAATGTATCTGCCCTCATTCAAACACTCTCCAGCATTGAAAAGTTTCAGGTCATTGTAGGTATCCATGGTGATCAAAATCATAAGACACAAACACTTGCATGTTTACTTGAAACACTGTCAACCTGCTTTTAACAAGAATGAAAATTTTGCAAAGAAAAAAGAATTCTTTTTAACTATAATAATTTTTTTTATGCATATATTAGAATGAAGCATTTCACGTGCCTGGATTAGGATTACAAGACTTTTCATCAACTAAGTAAGTTTTAATAACAGGAAATAATTAATAAGTTTGTAGTTCACTCTGCAAATACTTAGATAATAAAGTTAGAGTGAGTGGAGATGGGGGAGGGGGTGGAGTAAGCGGAAAAACTGTAATTCTTCAAATTAGTTATTAATTTCAGATTTTCCAAGTACACTACATAGCTGGGTGATTTGGTCTGGTACTTGCTGCTAATAACAAGTCTTTCATCTATTATATTTTTACTTAGAAAGTCCAGTGCATCTTGGTTTGAAGACTGTTTTCATCGTTGTATTGACAGTGATGATAACTATTTTAGGTAAAGGCTTTTGTTTTCATAATAATTCAACATGTTATATACATGTAACCTTCAATTATCTTGTAATTTAAACTTATATTTGTTGTATTGTATCTCACTGTTAGTGTAATGATAATACCATTTGTAACATGCCAAAAAACATGCGATTGCAATATTTTTTTAGCTGAAAAAACACAGTGGCAGCGGCACAGAGAGGTGGTCGCATCCTCGCAAAAAATTGGCGTGGGGGGATGGGGGGGAGGTCGCCCCCAAATCAAGCTGAAACCCTTTATCTCCGAAAATTTTTGCCCCTCAAAATGCAGGAAATAGCGTTTCAGGGGGTCTATATTTCAATATTGTTAATGGGGAGCATGCCCCGAACCCCCAAGTCAGATCGTGCATTCGGCGCGAATGTGTGTATTCAACAATAGCAACAATTTGAGCATAATACACAGTGAAAATACAATTTACCTCTTATTTCAATAAAAATATCACCAAACAGAGTGAGACAAGACACTAAATGCTTTGTAAGTCTTTATAAAATCATATTCAGATAAGTTGTATGGTAACCAGTATTTTTTTTTGGTTCAAGGGTAAAGTTATTAATTGAGACGGAAAACATTCTTTGAAAATATATGACATTCATATAAAAATGGTTCAAAATAAAGATTTGATTCAGTAGCAGTATTTTGTATAAATAGTTTTTTAGAGTAAGTCATATTTCTGTATTGTATTTCAGTGCCTTCAATGAGAAAGGTAACAGTTTCAAACTGTTTCTGAAATTACTTGCTGTCCAGCTGATTAAAAGTAAATCCAGTAATAACAACCAAGGCTGGAAACAGATCAAAGGAAGGTAAGGTGTACATTGAATTTATTAAGTATTCAGTGAGAAAATCATTGTAAATTTAGGTAAACTTCATGAAAAAAAAACTGAGGTAAGTGTACCACAGACTCAATTAGAATGTCAAATTTGATGGAAAAGTTGACCACAAGTTGTTTTGGGTTTATTATGCATATTTGCTAATATGGATATGCATAGACTAGATGCCAGCTATTATTGTGAACAAAA